AAATACATTTTATTCCAGAAACAGGCTTCCATACAAAGCTGTCGTATGCTTTTTAGTTCTTTCATGTGTTCTTTGTACTTTTTGGACTTGACCACGGTCACAATGAACTTAGATTGTGTGGTAATGATTAAAAAAAAAATTTACTTTTGTGTTACTCTGATAAAAAGTGTGAGTGACATGAGTGTGAGTAAATAATGACAATGAATTCATTTTTGCTTGAACTATTGCTTTACGCCAAGCAAAACATAAAACTGAACCAAACAACTTAGGACTTGAGCAATAACTAGTGTTTCCTTTCCAGATGTGAAGTGTGCTTTTAAAAATATTGAAATGACCTCATAATAACCTCATTCCACATGCAGGGCAGTTTTGCATGATTCAGTAGCTGGAGCCTGTGCTTTCTTCTGGGATGTGTCTGTGCTGATTTTCACTGATAGTATTTCTGTTTGTATGATAGGTATCAGTGTTAACCCTATTTAGCTTACATGAAGGATTTATGCTTTCCAGGCTGGTTGCGGCTATGGAAGCGCTTTACTTCCAGCTCTTGTGTTGTCTGCTTCTGCTTCTTTTTGGCATCTTTCACAACTGTGTACAGTATTAAACACTGACTTCCAATTCCACTTTACAATTAAATGGATTATTATGAATTTAGCAGGCAGCTCTCTAGACTGTGGATAACAGATTTGTGTTATGGATGGATTGTTTGGTTTTACACAGTGTTTCCTAGTAGAGCTTGTGTTGCCAAACCTGCGTCTTGTTTTTTATTTATGCTTGAGCAAGATGCTACCCCTCATTAGAACAGTTGTATTTTGAATTTTCAATTCCTGAAATGTGAAGGAGGCCCCATAACCCACATGTAAATTTCCTACTGTAAATATATTAAAACTTAATTTTTGATGAGTAATATGCATTGCTAAGAACTTCATTTGGACAACTTTAAAGGCGATTTTCTCAATATTTAGATTGTTTTGCACCCTCAGATTCCAGATTTTCAAATAGTTGTATCTCGACCAAATAGTGTCCTATCCTAACAAACCATACATCAATGGAAAGCTTATTTATCAGGTTTCATATGATGTATAAATCTTATGACTGGTTTTGTGGTCCAGGGTCACATATTTGTTCATTTTAAAAACTGAAGCCAACAGTTTGCATGGCTTTAAGTTTAATTAATTTACTTATATTATTTTAAACTTTACATGACTGAACTTTAATCTTTTAAATTTCCTTAACATGCATCTGGCTTCATTGTAAAACTTTAGATCAAGTCATTTTCATTTCACATTACCAAGTTAGCCAAAATGACTACAATGATCAAGGAAATTGTTGGTATTCATTTAACGGTGATCATTTTTCACGATGAATTGGACAGATGTTTAGATGTTTTTTCTTTTGTTCACGTTACCATACACACGTTATTGCACTATATAAAGCATTGTACAGTATCAAGACATTCATCTTTTTTTTGCGTCTTCAGCCTTTCTTTCCTTTTCTTATATTCCCCACAGACACCTTGCAGTGTTAACAATGTGGTTGTGTGTACTGGACAAATTTGCAGGCTGTCACAATTCAAGGCACGTGGATATTTATAGAGCTTCCACTGCTGCCACCTTTGTCCTCTGCTTAGAGGTGCAATCTTATTCTCTTCTTTCTCTGATTTGATATATTGTTTGTTTAGCTTTTTAACCCATCTACATATTATTCTATGTACATATTGTCATTAAGATATCATAGGTGAATCACGTGACACCTTCCACTTTTTCCATTTCCAAACATTTATCCTTCTCCCACCGTTAGCATAACTTAATGTTTATCTCTCACTGTGTGTAACTGATACCTGGTCCATCAGCCTGCCGTGATTGAATTAGTGTCAGAGACTCTGGCGTTATGTGCAGATGTTTTGTGGTGTACAGTCTACAGAGTCCAGCTCAGCAATGTGTAAAGCCCTCACTATTCATCATCCCCTCTGTTTACCCACACGGCCCATATCTATGTCCTCCTGCTCTCATCTCACTGTGGCTCTTATGGCATATTAACAGTCCAAGTGATGAATTTAGCCTAAGATTTAGTCTAATGAGAACCACAGCAGGGTCCATTGCAGCATACTTCACGTGTCATGCTGCATTATTGCATGGATTATTTCATAAACCAGACTCAGTTTTATAAAACTAGAAAAGAAAAAAGAAAAGAAAAGGCCGAAAGCCTTCTTAGATTTACCTATGATTTATTTTTTCTTTGTGCAAGACCTGGATGGATGGATTGATTGGATTCTGCATGAAATGTCTGATGATGGATAAATTGTTGGTTAAGCTGAGCAGCTTACCTGGAATTAAAAGAATAGTTTATGAAAAAATTTGAATTCTTTCATCATTTACTCACCCTCATATTATGTGTTGTTATTTTTTTCTTCTGTGTTTTTCACTAAATGAAAAATAGTGAACTACTCACCCTTGTGTCATTTCAAACCCGTAAGACCTTCGCTCATCTTCGGAACACAAATTAAGATATTTTTGATGAAATCCGAGAGCTTTCTGACCCTGCATAGACAGCAGCGTAACTGACACATTCAAGGCACAGAAAGCTAGTAAGGACATCGTTAAAATAGTCTATGTGACATCAGTGGTTCAACCATAATTTTATGAAGCTATGAGAATACTTTTTGTGCACAAAGAAAACAAAAATAATGACTTCATTCAACAATTTCTTCTCTTCCTTGTTGCGTTCACAACAGTGCCACAACGTTTACAATTTCATGTTTAGTTCAACGTGTATTTGCAGTTTTGTAATAATTTGTGAAATTTAACAGCAATTTCTGTGTAAAACTTATTTCACTACTTTTTTTTTTCAGTGTAAAATTCAACCAGGACCAATTGTCAACACAGGCATTCCATCAGAGAATGGTATCGACATGATTTACAGCCAAATCATGTGCCTACCAGGAAATACAAACACACGTGGCACTGTATTGTTTTTTTCACCTCATGAGACTGTCATTTCTGCTGATTTGAGGATTTGATTTCGGCTTTTGGCAGATTGACTTTGGGTTTGGAGGTTGGGTTTAAAACTTGCTTCTTAGCTGAAATGCTAGCCGCACATGATCTTTGCATGCTCTAATGTATCTATTTTTTACTGCGTTCATTGTTTTTTGATGGAAACCTATTGGGGGCAGCTAAGCTGTTTCTGGGCATTTTCTTCCTCAGTCCATCCAGTCAGATTGTTGATGATTCAGGACTGGGAAACTGGGCCTTGGCTTTCAGTGCTTTTGGCCTTTTTTTCAGTCTGTTTTTTTATGAGGGATCATTTTACCTACAGTACATTAGTTTGGCAGTAATGAGTCACACTCAGCAGAAACGGTTCAGGGAAGAATTGATCTTTTAGTCTTCAGAGGTTTTCCAAAATATTATTTATGCATTATTATTTATTAGAGCCATCAATATCTCAATCTAGCCTTTATATACTCAGAAAGATACTAATGTCTAAAACATTTTATTTTTTAATTGTTTGATCTTGTTTGCTTAAAGGCATAGTTCTTTTCTTGCACTCTGAACTGCAAATGGGGGAAAATTCAACCTTTCAGAAGTTGTTTAAACGTAAAACTTTGGAAAATGCCTCCAGAAACCAAGTCCATTAAATACGCTTAAGTGTGTGCGTGTTAAATTAGCACTATAATCCATGTATTAGTTTCCACTCACCCATGATTTACGAAATAGATTTGTTTTCTGCAGCTTTTTTCCATCCAACACACGAAGGCATGGATAACAGGTTGCTGAATTTTTTTTTTCTTTTTTTCTTTTTGTCTTTCTTGTCATTCTTTGGGATAGTAAACATGGTAAATTTTAGAAAGTGTATTATTATCTTTGGCCTTTAAGTGTTTACAGCCTCTTCTGATGCCAGCTGATGATCATCTAACAGTACTGTATTTTGATCAAGACGTTGACTGGCAGTCTGCCTATCTTTATCTCCTTCCTCTTTTCTAAATGAATCAGTATACAGCTGCTAATTAAGATCTGTCAGTCCCGTAACGCTCTTCATTCCTGAGAGTTTGTGCAATTAGCATTTTACCGTTTCTATCAATAATTGATTGTGAAAAAAGCCCCAGGATTTGTATTTCAAATGTCCTTATGGGCCTCATTAAGCAACAAGGTCCTTTTGTTGTGACTGTTTGAATCATCTTGCATTTCCTCACAACCAAGACGCTGTTGCTCCTAACCATCACATTACACCCAAGAGCAGAGCTGAACAATTTCATTCTGTCCTCGTGCAGTTAGATTGCAGAACTGAGAAGTAAGGCAGCGGGTAAGAGCGAGCAGTAACACAGGGACGTGTGAGCGAGTGAGCCAGATGTGTTGGGTTTGGCATGATCCCCAGCAGCAGCTGTTTGCATGGAGCCGATCGGGCTCCAAGAACTTCTCTGAGAACCGTGGGGCGAATCCAGCTTTTATTTTGCAAAGTTTCAGCTGGGAGCACCAGTTCTTGCGAAAGGGCCCCTTTTCTCAAAGAGTCTGAGTTCTCCTGAGAAATGGCAGGAAGTGGGGCAGTAATCTCTGCTTTTATCCACTCCATTTTGAGTGGGCATACTGGGCTTTCCAAGCGGGGTCTGTGACAGCAGTGATTAAGAGCATCTGTGTGTATGAGCTGAGTGCCAACTTGGATTATGGGGTGTCAGTGCCATGGCGAGTTTCTCCGTCCACCAGAGGCAATATTCATCAGTACGTGTAGAACACATGCTTGTTTTTGAGTTTTTGGTCAGTCATTGCTGTGTTGCTGTGATATTTGTGTTTTTGTTTGTTGATTTTATTTTATTTATTTATTTTTTTTGTTTCCTGAGGTATCGAGGTATAGATTTAAAAAATAATAATCAAATAATAATTATAAAATCTGCATTAATTTAACTGTGTTTTACATGATAAAGTATTACTTAATAATAAAAAAATACAGCACACCCTAGTTTTGTATTGTATTTTGATCTGTTAGTTTGTGTGTGTTTGTTTGTGTTTCAGTTTTCTCCTAGTGTTCAGCTGTCTGGTCCTTTCTGTTTTCTCTACCCTTCCAGACCATCATACATTTGCCAACGAGGGGCTCTTCATCCTGGTAAGGGGTTAAAATGACACAAACTTTACCTTAAACAGACTAACAATACTAATCAATCTGGAGGAAACAACAATCATAACAATGCTGATTGATTAATGGCACCATGAGAATATGCAGTCCCAAACCCTTCTAGCAGCTTCCCAACATCAAATTTAAGCCCGTTTCATGTTTTTAAGACTTTCGCAAAAACATCTGACACTGGCAAAACATCTACTATAATCAAATATTAGCAGTTTATATGTTGATTCATTTTTCAGAATGCACAACTACTTTCGAATGGCCATTAATGGAGAAAAGGGCTTTTTTCATACCTAGATGATGTAATTCCAACATCTACCAGCAGGACCAGATGCAGCCACTTAAATAATGAAATGTACTGAAAAGTGCATAGTTCACCCATAGACAAAATTTGTCTTTATTTACTCACCCTCATGTCGTTCCCAACCATTCTCCTGTATGATGAATTCCTTTCTTTTGTGCTGAGCACAAAAGAAGATATTTGGAAGAATGTGGATAACCAAACAGGTCACTGTAGTAATTCCATTTTATGGAAGAAAAAAAAAAGTACAGTGGAAGTCAATGGCTACTGGTTTGGAATGACATGAGGGTGAGTAAATAATGACAAAATGTTCATTTCTGGGTGAACTACTCCTTTAGCTATACAAATATATTTAAAATAAATGAAACAATCACAAAAGTAGAAATGGAAGATTGTTTCTTGTTTTTCTTAATTGTTGATTGATTCAACTTCATCCCTCATTGCCAGACGGCTTTAAGTCTGACACAGTATACATTTCATATCTATTAAATTGCATTTAAATTAATCCACTTACTTTCTCTTACCTGTAGAGCAAATGGTTTGACTTCCTTCCTGTGTTTTATATCCAGAAATGTAGTTTAAAGAAAATTGAAAGTTGGCAACCACAGACTGTCTGATCTGTCTTAAGTACCTTCACTAAACAGCATCCACATTGTCTGTGCCGTCTCTAAATACATTCACAATAGCACATCATCTGAATAATTAATCGCACAGGGCTTTCTCTGTGGCTGTTAGTCCATCCAATCGCACTCTGTATATCTTTTTGTTAGGTGTTTTTGGAGGTGTGTCTTCAAAAAAGGTGAATTGGGTCTTTTTTTCTGTTTGCCAGCATTATGGATCAAATGTGCCGTGTATGCAAGCCTGTTTTGCTGTCTATTGTGTTACTAAGAAGTTTATCTTATTAGTCCAGCTGGTATTGTTCTGAAATCCTTTGTAAGCATAAACTCGTATATATGCAGTAGAAAGTTTTGTAACTACAAATTATTATTAATTCATTATAAGGCTTTTCGCTAAAGTATGTTCTGTGTGCTGTCCATCTGAAGGGATTGCGAACTTTATTTAGTATGATAAACTATTATTAGTGTTCTGTGTACGTCTTCATTATAACACATCAGGGGGGCGTTTGCACTCTCTATAACTGCAAGGAAACACATTTTGAAAATTATTAGGCTTTATTTTTATTACCGTTTTAGCAGCATCTCAGGCCGGATTCATTTCTCATCTGATTGGCACACGGTAAGCATTCTTGTACTGTCTCATGTCTCCCTGTGGCTGCGTTAAGTGTGCATTTTGTTTTCTGCTGGGATCTTTGCTGTGGGAAATGGCAGTGTAAGCACACGGGAGGATTCAGGTGTTGTCGAGTATGCAAGAAGTAGCCCACTCCATCCAGTAATCTTAGCTGCAATTCTATAATCACTCTTTCAGTATGAAGTGCTTTTTCTCTCACACTGACTTTCTCTCCCAATTTTTTTCCATTTAATGGTCTCCTTCAGGAAAGGGCTATGTTGTCTATCATGCAAGTTCTGGTATTGAATGGACACTCAGTCTGTAATGTGTTTGTTCACATTGAGAACGCGGGTGCCACTACAGGATCTGTAATCAATACAAGCATTTAGTGCAGGCCTTTGTGAATCCAAGCCGTCTGTGGCATCTTCACCAGGAAGAGAAGCAGTCATATGATTTAGCATAAATGAAGAATGAATAATCTCTCAATTTTTTTTTTTAGGAACTGGTATTTGAGTAGTCTTATACTTTAGTCATTACTGCCAGGCAGGCATTATTAAGAGGAATGATTTTGATTTCATGTTGTTTGACTTGCAGGAGTTTGTGATGATCGTGGTTTTTGGCCTGGAGTACTTTGTGAGGATCTGGGCAGCCGGATGCTGCTGCCGGTACAGAGGATGGCAGGGTCGGCTACGGTTCGCCAGAAAGCCCTTCTGCATCATAGGTAAAGACCTGGAGCCTGAGATCAAGAGCACCATGTCTATTTAAAGTGAAGGGAAACAAAAGTTGTTTATATAAAGATCTATGGCAGAAAACACCATTCACAACACCATTCACAAATTTATTCTGTCCAATCAGGCTTCTTCGAAATATTCTGTCATCGTCTACCCACAATCATCTTTATGGAGACATATTACTTTTTTTTTTAAGTCATATGTCATTTTTGCCCCCTCAAAAACTGATTGTGTTTGCCCCATATTAGTGGAATAAGATGAATTTTAAATATCCTATTGTCTTTGTTTCCCTCCTTCTGTTTTCTGTTCTTGTCATCTATGTTTTTCTCATTTTGTAGACTTCATTGTCTTCGTGGCATCACTGGCAGTGATAGCAGCGGGCACACAGGGAAATATCTTCGCCACATCTGCTCTGCGCAGCATGCGGTTTCTGCAGATATTGCGCATGGTGCGCATGGACCGCCGGGGAGGAACCTGGAAGCTACTGGGCTCTGTGGTGTACGCTCACAGCAAGGTGACAGCACACATGCTAATCCATCACAGGACATTTGCTTCAATATTATGTCACTGTAACATTTGTTTAAACCATGTTTTTAACTTTTTTAAACATATACATAATACAATCTATGTATGCTATAAATTTACCTGATTAAGTGTTTTAAAATCTTCTGCAATACTCTTTTCATTGTCCCTAAACTTTCCTTTCTCTCTGTTTCTCTCTCAGGAGCTGATCACAGCCTGGTACATTGGCTTCCTGGTACTGATCTTTGCCTCATTCTTGGTCTATTTGGCTGAGAAGGAGGATAACCAAGAATTTTCCACTTATGCTGACTCCCTCTGGTGGGGAACAGTAAGTACTGCCCTGGACTGAACTAATGACCCGTGTCGCTGCTGTTCTTTCAGTTGGTTCCCTGGCTCAGAATAGCTTTGTGGGAATTGATGTTACAGCAGTTTAGTTTTATTTCTACTGGGATTATAATTCTGACTCCAATAGACTGATTGCTGAATAATATCCTGAATCTGCTGAGTTGGAAACGATTTTTTAGAAGCATCATGCCTACATGCACACAGTGGGGCCTCAAGTCATGGTTATTGTACTTTTTAATTATTATTATAATTTTTTTTTTTTTTTTCATATTTTAATTTTCATATTTTTCATAAATGGCATGTCTTTTTAGTGTTTTGTTGTTGTTTCAGTTTTTAGCATTTTTATGTTTAATGCAGGAAGGTTGTAAAGGTTTTATACAACCTGCCTGCATTAAACATAAAAATGCTATTATTATTTAACTTTTAATTATTTGTATTCATTTTAGGTTTATTTCAGTTGATGAAAATATTTTCATTTAGTTTTCGTTTGAGTTTTTCATTACTGCCACTGCCTTGAGCTGTAACCCCTTTTTTAAGCAAATGAGCAATTTAATTAATTGTGTTTTTGTTGTTGATGATGATGATGATTTTCCTGACCTTGCCATGCATTTCACTGACCAAACTGGTTAGCCATAAACATGTTTTGTGATTTTGAAATTGTGAAATTTGGTAGGAAAAGCATGTTGTTATTTACACCTCTACTGTTTTTACCCAGATTACCCTCACTACGATCGGATACGGAGACAAGACACCACGCACCTGGCAAGGTCGTCTTTTAGCGGCTTGTTTTGCCCTGCTAGGAGTGTCCTTCTTTGCCCTGCCGGCTGTAAGTACTGCCGTCGATTTTAAGGCCAGTGACATTTTTTTTTGCCACCGATCCCAAACCATCTAATGGTCCTCTGGTCTTTCTGTTAGGGCATCCTGGGTTCAGGTTTTGCTCTGAAAGTGCAGGAGCAGCACCGGCAGAAACACTTTGAGAAGAGGAGGACACCCGCTGCCAACCTCATACAGGTAACTGCTTAGTCAGCAACACACCTGCTGCAAATAAAATAATAATTTTATATATATATATATATATATATATATATATAATTTCCACGTCCAAATATGTGTATGTTGTGTGTGTTGTGTACATGTACGTCTGTGTGTGTCATCTTGTGCCGTGCTGTATCGTGTTGTCTCCACAGGCTGCATGGCGTCTCTACTCTACAGATGCTCAGCACTCATATCTCACAGCCACCTGGTATTTCTATGACAGTATGCTGCCGTCCTTCAGGTAAGTATGACCTGTAACGGAGCCCTCCGCGGAGATGCTTATCTGTGCCGTGCAAGTTGAACTGGCCTTGTGTATAACTGATATGACTGACAGGTGGCTTTGCCGTTTTGAGGTCATGATTTCAAAATGAAGGGGTTCAAAATATCCCAAATAGCATTAGTCAAACTGATTTATAATAGAGTTTCTGAGAAAACAATATTTTATTCGTGATAAACACACAGTCAGTGAATCCTCCCTGTAGACGCACAGTGTTATTATGAAATCCCTTTCACTATAATTAAAAGTGGTACTTTGACCCAGAAATCATGATTTAATTGATAGTTTTGAAGTTCCTTTTATCGTTTTGATTTATTCATCTGCAACATTCATTTTTGCATGTACTGAAAGCAAAGATTATGACATGTTTTCATGAGTTACGTGAGATTTCATTTTTGTCCCAGTTAATGTGGGATGAAGAATGTGGAGAAATAGAAATTGTAGCCAGTATTTTATAGTTTCTCTGAAAACAAGTTTTATTATCAAAAAAATTATTTGTTTTAAGGATTTCTACATATTTATAGACATAACACTAATTGAACAATAGGAAGTAATTTTACAGTCTGTAAAGATCCTATGTAAAATATTTTTGATATTTCTTCACAATTTTACAATGGTTTTTGGCTCAATAATTGGTATTCAATATATGATTTAATTCCTTTTATAAAGCATCTCAGTGTTCCACATTTTTGATTTTTCATAATATATTTCTATTTTTCCCTTAATAATATTTATCCCACATGCATTCTTCTTTGGATGAATTAATCTGACTAATTATCATTCATTTAAAATGACAGGGAAGTTTGTATTTCTGTTTAACCCAGATGTTTTATAAACTCAATTGTCCCTGTTTTTTTAAAGGTGTTTTGATGGTTAATTTGCCATTTGGTTTTTAGTTTTTTGTTTGTTTGGTTTCTTTTTTTTCTTTTCTTTTGTTTCTTTATCATGTTTTATTATTTTTATTTTTGCTTGTGGGTCAGAGAACTGACATTACTGTTCAGTCACCTCCAACGGCAGCGTAGCACCAAGAAGGTTCTTCACAACTCCTACCACACCCTGCTGTCGGGGCTCCGGCCGTATAGCTCCCCCTACCTGTCTGGGGACAGGTACGACACTGTCCAGTTTAACTATCTTCCTAGAGGACACTAACTCTTCCCTGCAATTTACAGTAATACAGTTAAATTCACATACTAGCATACTGTAGTGTAGTAAAGTCTCAGGTTATTACTTAAAGCATTCATCGATATGTAAGTTGTTTACAGGAAGTTCAACACCTGGCACTCCAGTAAGCTGCAGTTGTGTTACTTGTTTGTGTTTTCTGTATGCCTTCCTGTGTTCGCTTGTCTTGTTTTTTGTGCTGATACTAATACACATCTATACTGGGACATTGAAAGATTTATCAGATATGTGATGAAGTTTGATATATGGTAGATAGATTTGAATTTTTTATTTTTGATAAAAAGTTGCCTTTTAGTAGTTATATATAATTGAAAATCTCCATAATTGATCGCATATCTGATGCTGGTCTTTGATACAATGGCCTTTGTGTGTGTGTGTGTGTGTGTGTATATGTGTGTGTGTTAATGCCTGCACACATTTGTGTGAGAGCATTATTTCTTTACCCTTTGACCTTTCAGTGTGTCTCACAACCCATCTTCATACCCCTTCGTTCAACCTCTCCATTCTCCTCCTTTCCTCCTCATCTCTCTGCCATCACTCCATCCATTCACGTTTTCAGGAGGACAGACATTCCATGCAGGTTTGTGTTAGGCTTTTGAGACTACTGTATTTCGCCCAGTGGGAAGTGTTGTTGGCCGTGCTGTGTTTACAGTTTGAGCTGCTTTTATTTAGAGTGATGATGATAAAAATGAACCGGGTCTTAGATGCAATGATGGTCCGGTTGCATTCAGATGCATTGAAATCTAATCGAATAATCTCACATGCCAGTATCTGCATGCCGCCCCATCCCTGCCTGCCTCACCTTAGAATTTCTCACTCTACTTTTCCTAAATTACCTTTCACCCCTATAAGTTCCACATGTTATAGCCCTTTCAACTGATCCTGGGGCAGTTTTTCATTTCAGTGCAAAAAATAAATAAAGCAGAGATGTGCTGAAAGGCTGCATGTGATGGTCCTGATTCCTGAATGTGTGTGTGCGAGCTCACCAAGCCTTTCTCCAGAAACACTTATTTCTCCACTTATCACTAAGTTACACTTTGTTTTAAAGTGCACATTATTGCCCACAACTAGTAGTGAGCTTGATGTTGCTCCAAACCTGTGTTATTTTCATCTGTGGAACACAGAAAGAGATATTAAGAACTATTTACAATAACAGTAAATAGGGTCTGAAGCTGTCAAGAAAAAGTGAAAGCACTACAACAGTGGTTCATACAACTTTTGTCCTATATTCCAAGTTTTCTGAAGCTGTACAAAATGTTTTAGAAATAGACTAAAATGTAAGTCATGAGATTTGAAAGCAACGATGGAAAGAAATATTTAAGTAGGTGGTGGCTTCAATTGTGACCCTTTCCTCACACAAAGCTGTATATTATGGTTTGAAATATAGCATAGATGTCTGCATATTACTTTTATGCTATTTTTTAATTATGTGTTTTGTCATTTTTAGAGCTTGACCACCCCAGTCCACATTGGCTTTCATTGTATGGGAAAAAAGCGGCCAGGACATTTTTCAAAACATCTCCTTTTTTGTTCCACAGAAGACAGAAAGTCATACTAGTTTTGAAATTATGAGAAATTAATTTGCATTTTTGGATGAACTTTTCATTTAAAATTAAAGTTGTTATCTTGAGCTACACTAACAGAGAGAGATTAATCCATATCCGCTTACAAGAACATCATCTACTTGGGTTGCATTACATACTACTTGCATATGAAATTTAAATGTGTGCCCGCAATCTCTTGCAAATGTACACTAAAAACAAGTGTAACGAGTGTGTCCTAGCACAGCTGACTAACCCTCACAACCCCTCACAAATCCCTCCCTCTGCCTTGTGTGTCTCTTCAGTCAGCTCATATCTAAAAAGAGAGGTTTCTTCCGGATTCATACTGGCAGTAAGCAGAGGTATCCATGAGTGATGTGCCTGTGCACACTGGGCACGATCCGTCCCTCCCCTGATGCCTGAAACACTCTGAGCCTTACTGATCCAGTGCAGCTCGACCCATTCAGGGAGATTCGTAATGCCTTGTGTGAAGAGACATTCATAGTCATCATTACTAGATTACATTCCTCATAAACTGTGAAAGACAAAGGCTGCACTAGCTCATTAACCTCAGTAATCTGCCCTTTAATCTGTGAGAGGCCGACCAGAGAACAGAGTACTGTATATCTCTGCTGAATGCACACAGATGAGGCCTGCATGTGCTCACAGGGCATTGATAAACCATGTGGTCGGGTGTAAATAAAAACCTGAATAACTTTTGTTCATGGTTTATTTCTTTATGCATGTCACTTTTACTTAATCGTTATTCTTTAGAGGCTAAATCATTAATGGCATGTTTTAGCATTTGGATGCAGGAATATCAAGAATTCTTGATTCAGAGCTGTTAAACATTTTGTAGGAGAGGTACACATGTACGAGTCATGCTTAGACTGAGATCTTTATATATTTTAATGTTTAAGCATGTGTTTCTATGCTAAAAGGAATCTGATGTAGATTTGTGGGTTGCTAAATTTGGCTCTTGCCAAAGGAAATTCAGTGTGCATGAGGTTTGTGACCTCTATGTGTATGAGATTGAAACTGTATTTCAATTTAAGGCTTTTCACATTTTAAATAGTTAACCCTGGGTCATTCTAAACCCTAGGTTATGTTGATTCACGTTTCGCACTGCTCATAATCTACCCAGGGTTAACAATTAATCCTGGGTATTCATAAAATGAGGTAAACCCTGGGTTAACATTCTTATTTGCGTGTCAGTGTCATGAATTAAATAAACGCAGCACGTGACCTGTTTACATAAATGCTCTGGCATTGCGAACCTTTAATAGGCAGAATACTATCACGTTTTTTTCTGAATGCACCTTTCGGACTAAGAATAGAATAGTCTCTTGTTCACTCCAGTTCCTGTGTTTTCCGCCATGGTTTTTCGTTACTATTTGACATTTTCCCCTCAAACTCTGATGCAATTGTTTATTCAACGCGCAATGTTTTCGTTAATGTCCAAAGCACATGCTTGCTGCATGCACATGCTTCACTAGCTTGCTGTCGGTTGCTAAGCATCTAGTCGTTACATTCTAACACAAAATCGATTCACACCGTACATGTTTGGCACCGCGATGTGAATGGGGTGATAAACTATGGGATTACATTTCTGCCGCAATTCTGCGCGCGAAAGATCATATTTTGAGCGCGCAAAAGTGCGTTTTGCACGCGCGCGAACTGAGTTTTGTGGAGAAAATGTTTGTCTCGCAAAGAAAAAAGTATTTCGAGCGCACGAAAATCAATTTTGCATTTAAAATAAGTTTTTGGATGTGTGCAGACCTTCTCTTTTGCGCGTGCAACGTTTCACTAGCTTGCTCACCTGATGCCCACCCTC